TGCAGGAGGGAAGGCCAATAGCATTCCTGAGTAAAAAACTGGGAGTTAGACACTTGGGGCTCTCAGTGTATGAAAAGGAATTCATGGCAGTACTGATGGCCATCCAGAAGTGGAGGCACTACTTACAGGGTAATAAATTCATCATTAAGACAGACCAACAGTCCCTAAAGCATTTGCTAGATCAGAAAATTACCACACCACTACAACAGAAGTGGATCACCAAGCTTCTGGGTATGGACTACGAGATAACCTATAAAAAGGGTGTGGAGAACAAAGTGGCTGATGCCCTATCAAGGAGAGAAACAGAAGAAGCTGATTTATGGTCACTATCTACAGTCAGACCAATATGGATGCAACAAGTGTTAACCAGCTATGAGGGTGACCAAGATGTCTCTCAGATCCTAAGTGACAAGACCAATGATTCAGTAACTCACCCAGACTTTGAAGTTATTAGAGGAATCCTTAGGCACAAGGGCAGAGTGGTTATTGGCAGGTCTACTGATCTCAGGTTTATTATTTTTAAAGAATTACATGCAACAGCAGTGGGTGGGCATTCAGGGATACAGGGGACCTACATGAGGCTGAAAAGAGTGTTTTACTGGCCAAACATGAAGAAAGACATCACCCTCTGGGTAAAAGAATGTGAAGTTTGTGCTAGAACTAAACCAGAAGGGGGAAGTTATCCAGGCCTATTGCAACCTCTACCAATCCCTGACCAAGCTTGGAGTCATATAAGCATGGACTTCATTGAAGGACTTCCAAAATCTCAGGGTAAAGATGTCATATTGGTAATTATTGATAGACTTACCAAGTATGGGCATTTCCTACCCCTATCCCACCCTTATACAGCACACACTGTGGCAAAATTATTCCTAGACAACATATTCAGATTACATGGACAGCCTCTGGACATTCTTACTGACAGGGACCCTGTGTTTCTGAGCACATTTTGGAAGGAATTGTTCAAACTTATGGGCACCCACTTGAGTTACACATCAGCTTACCATCCCCAAACAGATGGTCAAACCGAGCGACTAAATCAGTGTCTAGAGGCCTATCTCAGAGCCATGACTCATCAAAACCCTAAACAATGGGCTAGATGGCTACCCATGGCAGAATATTGGTACAACACTAACTATCATTCAAGTGCAAGAATCACTCCTTTTGAGGCACTGTATGGACATACGCCCCTAACCCTCTCCCTGCCTACACCTTCTGCAACAACTCACCTTGAAGTAAAAGAACTCATAAACCACAGACAGAAATTGAGGCATGACCTAAAGGAAAACCTTAAGCTCGCTCAAGAACGAATGAAGTACTACGCAGACAACAAAAGGAAAGATAGGGATTTCAATGTGGGAGATAAGGTGTTCCTAAAGTTACAACCTTACCGACAGCAGACAGTGGCAATGAGAAAGAATCAAAAATTGGCAGCACGTTACTATGGGCCATACACCATACTTGAAAAAATTGGGAAGGTTGCTTACAGGCTAGATTTACCTGAGGATGCCAGGGTACACCCAGTATTCCATGTCTCTCTTTTGAAGCGTTGTATAAGGCCTCAAGTGGAAGTAACGACTACTCTTCCTCCAGTTGACGAAGACGGATGCTTCTTCATATCGCCAGCATCTGTACAAGCCATACACTTAACAGAGGGAGAATCTGCGTTGTTGACCCTGATTTTACCCTGTGGAAAAAACGGAGAAACTGCCGAGGGGTGGATATCAAAAAAAGGGCTCAGTCGGTTCTTCCAGAAGGTAGATCCTTGGGGACAAGGATCTCAAAAACACAGGGGTATTGTTATGACCCTATCAGCATGATAGCGGATACAGGAGCGGGAAGTAAAGTTCAAACGGAAGAAGGCTTCTTTACTCACTTATGGGCCGGTTGATTTAAACTACAATTGGGCCGTGTTATCCATTATTATTATTATTTAAATTTTGTTAAGCCCATATGTACAATTGGGTTCTGGCTAAGCTTACACTGGTGTAGTAAATATATATATATATGGAAGGAATGGAAATGAGAGGTAACAAGTAATACCCCTTTTATTATTTACTACCTTTCTCTCTCACACACACCTTTCTTTTTCTGCTCTCCCTAACTAACTGTACGGAACTTTTCTTCATTCTTCTTCCCAAAACCATCAAAAACTTCTCGGTCCATAACAAAACGGGATCAAGCCCTAATCGGGATTAATAATTAATAAGCCGCTAGGCCTAATTAGGAATCAGGCCCACGATAGGAACCCACAACCAGGACGGGCTGGACAGCAGACCTCGACCCTGGACGGAGTTCTAGTGAGGCCGGGATATTCCTAGGGCTTACGTGGCAGGCTATCATTCGAGCATAGCTATCTGGCAGCAGGCATGATTCAATGGAAGAACGTGGACTTTAAGGAAGCAATCATTGCACAATGTCCAAGACGTGACAGGAGACTTATTCGATTACAATCCAACTAACTCTCGTAGTTGGATTAAACTCCATCACTTTTTATTTTAATTCCTGATTGATTTTTGTGCAAGGTGTAATATGTATATATGGCCTTGAGGTAGGTTGTATAAACAGAATAGGAACAATAAAACAATTACTCTTTTATGCGTAGAACATATTTTTATTTGTGCGTTGCTCTGCAAATATTCATTTGGTAACTATTATTTAATTAGAAAAGTATTTAATTTTTTGTTGAAGAAAATAATAGAATAACGCAATAACCGTTGCAGAAAGAAAGATAGAGTACTAAGAAAAGAAAGAAGATTAAGAGAAAAGGAAAAAGAAAGTGAAAGTGCAAAGAAAAGAACATATATAAAATAGAAAAAGAATAGAATTGAAAGTAAATAGGCACGTGTGATTCTTACCTACTAAATCAGGTCATGTGGGTTAAATGATCTTTTTTACAAGATGGGGGATTTATATGACTCTTTTTTTAAGTAGATGGATCTTATGATGTATTCTAAGTAGTAGAAGGGTTTATACGACCCTTTTCCAGTGTTCTAAAAGGCTCTATTAGGCGACGCATAGGCGCGCCTATGCGCAAGGCGTAGAGCAAACGCCCCGCACACCTCGAGGCGTGCTAAAAGGCGCGTTAAGCCTTTGAAATCCGAAAAAAAACTTAAGTTAAAGCTGCTGGGCCGCATTTAGTCCCACGTGCAAAGCACAGCTACCTAGCCTTTACCTTGTAAATTTAAACTTCTGATGAATGACTTAATATATAGGCAGTCAGGAGGAGGATTCATCTTATCCTTTCCGGTGTGGGATTGTGGAAACACTAAAGCTGTACTCCGTACTAGAATTACGTTGCACCTATATGCTTGCTTACATTCTTTATTGCTTAGTTTTGAGTTTACATCTACTCCGTATTATATTGCTTATATTATATAACTATATTTAAACTTTAATTCAATCACTTTATTTTTTATTAATAATAATTAACATTATTGTATTATCTCTACTAAAAAGTAATGGTGTTTTACTGTTATATTATTATTTTTACTCTTGTTTGTTGAAATAATATGCTTAATATTGCTATTAGTATTATCATTATCAATATCATATTTTAAAATTTCTTACTTGTATAGTAGATGCATATATAATGAGTCATTGATAGTTTTTCAAAATTGTATTGTCCGAAAATGTAAAAGTTCGATGCTTTTAAGTGGTATATTCTGCATTACATGTGTATATTTATTACTTTTTCAGATCAAGTTTTTGTATAATTAGTGAATTTATACTATGTATTTGTTGGATTAATTAGGACTCGACAAACACCTTTATGCGAAAATGAGAACAATCTGATGTTTTTCAATAACATTATTTATTTTTTATATTTAAATATTTAAAACTATCTTTACGAATATTAAAATAAATGATAAGTAATCGAAACGCCTTTTCACGCCTAAGTCCCGTCTAAGCCCGCCTAGGCTTCAAAGGCTTAAGGCTTAGGCGTGCCGCCTCGGCACGCCTTACGCCTTTTAGAACATTGCCCTTTTCCCATAATAAAATGTGATTGAACCATATATTTCCTTATCAAATTAAAATAACTAAATAAGTGATGGGCTAGCTGTGAGTGTCCCTATTACGTACACCTGTTGCTTTTATCCTCATCTATGTATGTCAGCATGCTGCATGCATGTCTTTTTCATTGCCCATTGAGAAAGAAGAAATTTAAGGATGCCGCATAGCTTTTGAACATAGATTTAAGAGATTTTATACTACGTACGTACTACCTATAATCCAGAGATTCCATTTCCTAAAATAATAGCCATATCTCTTTCAAAAGACCCATATCCAGACATTAAACTTGTTTGGGTACGGAGCAGCCATATAAAATTAGGGGTTAAGTTTCTAATTACGAATAGTTAATAAACCGTAAACTTAGCACAAAAATATGTAAAGAACGATCTAAAGAACGATTATTGTGATGTAATAGCACAAAAATGAGATTTTTGTATTTTAGACGTTTCATTAGATCATGATGATTGATGGATGCTTTTCTAAAGAACGATCAATATATAAATAAAGTGATGTAATAGCACAAAAATGATATTTTTGTATTTTAGACGTTTATTAATGACCATTGGCGGATTTTACAACCAATTAAACTTAATTTTTGTATTTTAGACGTTTATTAATGACCATTGGCGGATTTTACAACCAAACCTAGGGTGTTCAAAATTGGTGTTCAAAATTATTGTATCTATTGCAAATTAATATTTTTTGGTCCATCAATTGAGAAATTTAATTTTTCAATCAAACAATATTAAAGCTAACAATTTGTATTGGAAATCTTGGTCGCCAAACTTACTATGCTTTGTCACATTCTGATTAAAGCAAGCAATTTGTGATTATGCTTATTCATTTATTCTCTGCACAAAACTCAATCACACAATTATTGTTTTTTAATTTTTAATTAATAAAATCCATAGGACTCAATTCAAAATTAACAAAATCCATAGGGACCAAGATAATACTTTCCGGTTTTAAAATTTATTAACTTTTTACGTGCTTCTATTTTGAACATTTTCTTTAACTTTTCCATTTTAACCCCTTCACCTTTTTTTGAAAGGGACAATATCTTAAACTTTAATCACATTTTTTTTCTATAAACTCTACATAATATTTCAATTTTCAGCAATATTTATGGAAAAAACGTCTTCCAAAACTATTTATGGAAAAACGTCTTCCATGTATTACTTGATCGAAAAGCATCCATCAATCATGATCTAATGAAAGATTACAGAAAACAAAGTTTATGTACGGAGTAAAAGCTATAGCGTTCCATAACTTCCATTCAAGTCGGATTTAGTTGTCTTCCTCGGAACTCTCGGGGCTCGGGTACTCATTCAAATCGGGCCTGAACAGAACGACCCGTTTCTGATTCGAATTCAAATTCGGGCCGTGATCGGCGGGGGATGACGTCCGCATGGCGGCATCGACGCGCGCGCCGACCTCGGTGGCTTTCTGCCGAATATCAGCCGCTGAAAGCATCAGCTGGCCGTCTCCGCCGGCTACGCACTCCGGGAAGTTTAGCCGAGCCGACGGGCCGCGCAAGTGGAACACAGCAGTGTCGTAGGCTCGCGCGGCCGCGACGGGAGAGGAATAGGAGCCGAGCCAAATCCGGGAGCGCTTGTTCGGCTCCCGAATCTCGGCCACCCACTTCCCCCACTTCCTCATGCGAATTCCTCTGTACAGCTTCTTCTCGTGTTGCCCGTGCTTCTTCCGCTTCGATCCAGAAGTTTCCATCATCCCGGAAGCAAATTCTGTTTTTTTGTGTTTATATATTTTCCTTTTGCTGGATTAGCAGTGAGGGTAAATCGGTCAATATGCAAAGGGGAAGGCGGCGATGCTAAGATATAGGGGGAAGAGAAAAGAGGAATGAATAAATGGATGAAATGAAATCTATTTATGAGTGGTCGACTGAGCCGTGTCCGAGATGTCGTATTTATATGAAGGTGACGTGTGGCGTTCAAGCATTCCAAGCTATGTATAATAATTGGGTTGCCGGCAACGCAAATCTATTTAATTATTGAAGGATAGTCTCCCTTGGGATTATCTCTTTATCTTTCCCTTTAAGGTTTTCATTTTCAATTCCTTATTTTAAATGTCCCAATTCAAGGGTGTTCTCATTTTTCTAGAAAATAAGTTGTACTTTTAAATTGATATTTAATTATCAAATATTACAAACAACAAATCCATAAGAATGCAATTATCATCGATGGCTTCTTTATATTATGAGTCCAAAATTATTTTGAAGATCCGAATGATCTTATTTAACGATTATCAAAACAATCATGTTATCATACTATGAAAAGTTAAGTCGGGACGGAGGTAAGAGGAACTAAGGATGGAAAATATGGCATTCGACATGGTATCGAATTGGGAAATTGCCCTAAATAATAGTAAATGAGGTTTCGAATTTCAAAATAAGACTACGATGTTTTTCTTCCCAAAATAAGAGTTATTACTGCCATGTGTCAAGAATATTGCTATTAATTATAATAAATAATTAAATATTGTCGGTAATACTACCATATTAGTTCTTTTTCGAGAATAAATGCATAATAGTTCTATTTTGAAATTCCAAACTCTATTTACTCCTATTTTGGAAAATCTCTTGCCGAATTAGATTGGTATGGCGCCCAAATGAAAAATATACTCTGTATAAGGTTTCACATCATATGGTTACTTCTCACAAAAAATGAACTAATACTATATCAAACCGGATCAAAATATATGTTCGCTTTAAAGTACTCCGTATATACTTGTATATCCTACTACCCGAATTATTAAGTATACCATGTTTTTTATCTTATTCATTAGTCAATTACTGCGTACGTATCTACTCCGTATTACTGCGTACTACGTAAATAACAAAGACATAAGAATAATGAAGCAGGATGCTTTTACTCGTACAGGGAGAACGGGAGAAGGGTGGGCATTGGGAAATAGCAACTTAATTATTCCTTTAATTGTCGGTTTGTTTGTGTATTTATGAACTCTTTTATTTAATGTTGTGATTATTTTAAACAATTTGACTTAAATATTTTTAAGATGCAACTATGTAAGCTAAGGTTGATTGTTTTATAGTTATCTATTGACATGACATACTCCGTATTTTATCATATCGAATATCTTACTCTGATGGTAGGTGGGAGAATTTTAGTGCTACATTAACTTTTTAGCACACTTAACCTAACCAATTCAATTTAGTGATATACTTATATATAACCACGAAATAATTAAGGCTATGTATATGAGTTAACTTTTTAGCACATGCACTTAACCTAACCAATTGTGATATACTTATCTATAACCACCCAATAATTAAGAAAAAGTCCATTGTTCTATTCTGATCTTGATTCATACCAAATTTAACATAGTTTAAGATAATCTACTGCCCTATACATATCATGCTCTATTGTGAAATACTCCCTCCATCCCAAAAACAACTTCACAGTCACGATTCATTGGTCAACTTGAATCACTCGTAATCTTTTACTTTTTATATCAAATTTTTATCAAATTTAAATTTCATTGATCAGACTTTGTAGCAGTTTTAATGTAGTTTCTGAATATGTAAATTTTACTACTATTTACTAAATATAATCCGAGTGTGAGCAGTGATCGAGTTGCTTTATCGTTAGTCAAGCATCGGAAACCGAACGGGAAGTTAATTTTGGGACGGAGGTAGTAGTATAATATATTTACGGATGTTTTTACTTGACTGTTTCCAGTTCCAGGCTAGACTTCCACAATTATAAAATACGTAGAGACCAAACATTTATCAGATCATACCAGATCGAACCAAAGTTGCACATATCAGACTAGATCAACATATTTCAGTCCAACTAAAAACATGCGTAATAGATAATATTACACTATTACATACTCCGTATGAACGATTCAAATGTCCTAAACAAAAAGGCAAATAATCTTAAGCACTAATTCTACTTTTAGTCCCATGATTATTACTCCGTATATGTCATTCTTATTTTTTGTCTTCAACTTACAATTTTTCACTTTTAGCTCGTTGACTATTTAGAATGATTTTACTTGGATTGTAATTTTTTGGTCTGATCTGATCTGGTAATGTTTGGTCTGATATGGTCTGAGACGGATTACTGTCCAAGTAAAAACATCCATAATTTTCACTTGAGATATTCCCATCACATTTCACACTACTTCTATTAGAATTATCGATTGAATTTTGCTGTAGTACTTAAACCGGGAAAAAAAAAACTGATGACTAAATACCATATAATATTGGGCGTCAAATTAATTCTTATAAATCCTAATGGTATTTGGTCTATCAAATGGGAAACCTTATTTTGACATGGGTGGCTGGAGCCTTAGATGGAGGACACGCTAAGGTAAAGATAAGGAAGAGAAAGAAAAGAAAAAAGAAAAAAGGAAAAAAAAGTCGGTGGTGGATGATGACAAATCATAAATGGGGCTTGTGTACTTACCATAGACAGTTGAGAATGAGATTTCGTCCACGCGAAAATGGGCAATCCATTTCACTGATGTTGAATCCGGGATAATGCAAATCCCTCACCAGAAATCATTTATGACCCTTTCTATTAGGGGTGTTTGGAACTGATTCTGCTTCTGCTTCTTTTTTAAAAGTAGAAGCAGAATCAGAATCAGTTTTCAGAAGCTGGTACCTCCCAGTTTCTAAAAAAACTGATTCTGAGAGTAATTAGAGCTCCAGAAGTGCTTCTGGAATTTCACCCAAACACTCCAGTTTCTGCTTCTGCTCCCTGAAGGAGCAGAATCAGTTTTGAGAATCAGATCCAAACACCCCCTAATATGCGATCTTCTATGATTCATCTCCGAACGTACTCATCCTTTTATTCTGAAGAAATGGTTCTAAATAGTAAAATACGATAGTATCATCAAGACTTACAAATAGAAATTTGCGATTTATGAAAAGGGATTTCAAAACTAGGACCTAATCAGATTTGTCAAAATTAAGACTACAAATTAGCCTAAGACTTAAGTACATCTGCTTTGACCAAATTACTATCATCTATGTCGTTGTGTTTTATGACATTTAATGTCATTTATGTCATTCTGTTTTATGGATATTCAATGGAATGGATTATTATTGATGTTTTTACCAATATATATTACTGTTGCCACCTTTTTTTATCTGGCATTGTTACTAATTTAGAAGCTCTATATCTTTACTCTTTGTTTATTGTCTAACTACTGACCCGTGTTACATAATTAATGTCTACTTCGAATATAAAATTTCTCACCATCTCTTTTTTCCAATACATTCAAGTATTACAAACTACCTTATAAACTAGTAATATTAAAATACAATAGATTAGTTTTTGACATCTCATTTGTATTTTGAATATTGAAGATAACTTTACATGGTACACCTAAAACCTTTATTTCTTAATTAACTACTTTTGATACTTCCTCTTTAAACAATTTAACTATAAAAGACATAGTATTAATACCTAAATCTACGCATTTGGATTTGGACTTATGAAACAAAAAAAACATGGCATTAAGTGTAATACTATCCTCCGTTTTTATTTAGATGCAACATACCCTCAAGGCACACAAATTAAGAAATAGGGATAAAGTAATGCTTTTCCCCTTTATACCCTTCTGTAATTAGAAAGGAACTTTTGAAGACCTCGTAAAAATCTTGCGGTCCACAAGGCAATGTTTTACAACAGTACAAACAGCTACACCGCAAAAGGTGGCATGTCATTTCCTACAGTGACGGATTTGAGGGAGGAGAGGTCCAGCTTCATCACCTCCACCAGGGCCTCTTGGTTCTCTCTCGGGATCGCCTCTCTCGCCGCCTTCTTTGCGCCCTCTGTGTTCCTCGCCGCTATGATTACTTGCGCTTTCCTCAGTTCCAAGACCCTCGCCGTCTCCAACCCTATCCCACCCCCGCCTGTCACAATGGCCGTCAGGTTGGAGGCATCGATTCCCTCGCTCACCTGCGCCACCATCGACGCCGACCCGGATCCACTCGGCCCTGCTATCCCACTTATCGATCTAAGCATCTTCAATTGCACCCACCCCCAAGGGCTAGCTAGCTTAGCGCGCGCAGGAAATCAAATCGCCTAGCTTAGCTTCAAATTTTATGGCCTGGTTGGATTGGTCTCTTCTAAAGCACTTACAATCAATCTCAGGCAGAGAAGCGCAGGGCAGGCCCTATTTATGGATACAAATCCATACATCCCCGGCCTGTGGAAGCTAAGTGGAAGCGTAGGGCAGGCCCTATTGGACCGCCGCTGCAGCCTGCAAGGTTGCCGGTCAAAGAAAGGAACGGTGGGGGATAATAAAGGGATAGAAAGAGTGAGTGGAATTAAAAGCAAGGAATGGATCAGATAGGAGAGAGGCTGTGAGTGTAAATGAATTGAGGGTATTAAAGACAATTGCATACACTTTTATGTCTTGAAATAGAAGGGTTGCAATTATTTTAAAACTTTCCAAAAAGGAAAGTGTTGCAACTAAAAAAGAACGGAGGGAGTAAAATGTTTGTCCAATGGCATAAAATAGACATTAATATGCATCTTCATATAACACCTGAGTTTCAAAATATGACTTAGATGTCAAAACATGGCATTAACGGCAGTTTAACTAAATACATTCAAATATGAATTAGATGTCCTAAAAGTACATATTAAAGAGCATAAATGTGCTTTGTTTACGATACATATCTCAAGAACCATTTACTAAATCTACTTTTTGTTGATGCATACAAAAGTAGTTCCATTGCGATCTTCTCTCGATACATCTCCATGTCCTCATTAAAAACCTCAGTAACTTCTCGATCAAGCATTAGGAACTCAGCAAACTTGATCACAAACATCCTGCAATTCCCCCTGCAAGATCAAAATACATTAATATTTTTATGCTTCTGTATATAGCTATACATGAGATTTATACACTGTACATACCCAACTTCCTGCTGTGGACAGTTGCGCACCATTTCAATCTTTAATTTTCCCTTTCCAATTGCAGCTTTTTGACGTTTGTCATATACTCCTAATCTCTCCATGACCTTTGGCAAGAAAGTCTCTAAGCATTTGGTATATGACCTTATGCTAGACAGTGTATCCCCTCTTCTCTTCAGTGAGTCGTAAACTCGGATACGCTTTGCATTGATTTCTAAAACTAACAGAATCCAATGCATCGCTGTATTCAGTGACATGTATACAACATCAGCAT